GGGTGTGGTAGGTATCATGCCTCCTCCTGGTGGGCAAAAGACTCTTCATGGGAACCTATTGAGAGTGGAAACCCTTGTACATTTGATATCTCTTGGCATGAAACATTAATTAGGGTCCCAATAACTAGCATCACCCCCCCTTCCTGATCAAATGCACATTAGACTACTCAAGGTTTGGTTGAGTGTAGGGGTTTAAGGCTAAGCTAGCTTAGTTAATGGACTGGGTGATGTGTTTCTGGGTCTGCTCTTTAATAGTTAATGAGGTTAATGGACTGGGTGATGTGTTTCTGGGCCTATTCTTTGGGACCTATCCTTTCAGTCTATGAGCTATAACAAGGTCGACTGCCAATGTTGAGTTTCCATTCTGGCAAGGATTCTTCTAAATACTGTTTTCTAAGAATCTAGTTGATGAGGACATAGGCTCCTGGGACGTATGATGCAAAGTTTGGAGATGTTTCAGTCTACAAAGGTTTACAGGCCAGTGAACTAGGCAGTGCAAGGATGAGTAATTTATATATATGAACTCCTTGAGGATAGGGTCTAAGAACCAAACTCCTAAACAACTGTCAACCTGATTGATAAACAAAACAGAATTATGTAAAACGTATGGTGAGAGCATGAAGGAGAGAGGAATGACCTCTACCAATCTCAGCTCAGTCCTCAGCAGTGAGGAAGTAGGAGAGGTTTCATGTTCTGAGACACACACCAGCCAATCTCAATGAAGTAAGCTGTTCAGAAAATGCCCCTTGGTATTAAAGTGCCCCATATGAAGGGATTGCTAACCAACTACGGCCAGTATTTTGTTTTGGTCTAAGCTTTGGCTGCCAAACAAAGAGGACTCGCAAACAAGTACGCTCTATTTCAACTTGTGGGAGGGCCCAGAGGGAGAGAGTCCCAGTAGGGACTGGAAAGCACCTTCAGTAAAAACACAGCCCATGTGGGAGGGTTACCTGGATTGGGGACTTGCGGAAATGGCCTTAGTGTAGGAAGCAGCATGTTTCCCTGGTGGCGTATGCCACTTCAGTTCTTCTCACGACAAGACAAAAACCAAAGTCCTTAGTGAAAAACACTCTGGGTTCTGGAGGAGGCAGAACAGAGCTGGCCTTGAGTGTGGACAGCCCAGCAGCTGTGGGAATCTTTAACAGGAAGGGGCCTGCAGGGCTAGGAGAGTAAGCTGCTGGCCTTGGACACAAAATTTAATGGCACACTAAAAACCTCAGTCATTAAGATAAATATGTTAATGTCACATTTTAAAAATACCTCAAGATTAATGCAAAAAAAAAAAATCCAAGATGAACACAATACCAAAATTGTAATGAGGGCAAACCCAGCCTCACACTGGCTTGACTTGGCTCCACCTGCTTCACCCTGGTTCTGGCCCTGAAAACCTGATTGGGAAGTTAGAAAACAGGCATCTCAGCCATGACATCCACAGTAGTGGGGACCTCGGAATGGGGTGAAAGCATCCTCTTCACAGCTTTATATAGAAGGATGTGAGGGCGGACAGATGCACAGCCACCAGAATTTAGAGTTTGAATTCACTGGAAAGAACAGCAGACATGGCTGCCAGCAGGGGAATTGAGTGTTCCCAAGGGAGGCTCTGAAGCAGAACACTGAAGGAGCCCATTAGATGGGCAGAGCATCCCAAAGTGATCTGGAAAAGGCAATGACTGCTAACAAAATGGGTCTCAGAGGTCCAAAGAGACAGAGTCCTTTTCTACTCAATAAATGTAAGTTCTTCAACATTTAAGAAAGAAAATGATCAGACAAATCAAGGTATCATCACAACCAAGCCACACAAGGATAGCAGGACATGGGTAATGAATCAACAGGCAGTAATTTAAACATCACAGAGATCAAGGTACTTCTGGGTGGGCTTATGGCAGGTGCTCGCTGACAAATAAGGCTGGTGATAGATAGCCTCAAAACACACACATGGTTCAGCCCCCAAACATTGTAACAAAATGCACAGCAACCCTGAAAACAGACTAAATGACCATATTATTTTGATTCTATCACTTGATTCCCAAAACACTGAGAAAAATTAGAGAAATGTGGGGGGGGTGAGAGTAAAAGAATCTCACAGAATAGGAAAACATTTCATGTTGTTAGCTACTAATAGTTCTTTTTTTTATTTTATACATTTTTTACATCATTTTTCATTTTTGCACAATGTATGCATTTTCATCTTAGCTATAGTCCCCATAAAATTCCCACCCCCCCTTGTTTTGATCTTCCTCCCTCCTCCCACCCCGTAGTATGTCTCTGATTTATAGTTGCTTGTTGATTTTGATTTTTACTTTGATCACCACCTTCCCGGCCTTACCATTTGATCGAGACACCAATGGCAAACAACATTGTCACCATCCGTAAGTGGCAACCTGGTTTGGTTGGAGATATTTCACCAAGTCACCACTACACCAAGTACACCATTTTACCAAGTCACCACCAAGTCAATTGCCTTTGGCTTGTATAACAAAGAGGACATGGAAAGGGTACCCCAATCTAACCCTGAGGTATCTATGGCTATGAAAACTCTTTAACAGTAAAAACTGCTGCACTATTCTTTTCCCCTTGAACGTATACTTCCATTCAATAATATGCTTTAATGCTTGAGAGGTCTTTATTAATCTATCATATTTCTCTCTAACAAAAGCGTGCACAGAAATTTCCTGTGATACTAAGACTTTAAAGTGTTCAATTTCCTTTTAGGATGTAGCTATTATTACTAATGTACACATGTGACCAGCCATTAATATTATTTATAAGAATGTTAATGTAGTTAACTTGGATAGGACAATTTTATTGCAAGTGGCATTCTAAAAAATGGATAGCACTTATTTTTCTCAACTATTTCGCATCTTTCCTCCTATTATAATAAGATAGGATTTAGCATCAATTCCATACTTTTCCTCACTTTTATAGATTTAATCTGTAAGAAAACCTGTTTACATAAGTGAAAGAAGGAAACCTAGCAAAAAAAAATCTTTCTGTCCATTGTTTTATAATTAGATTAGGTCCTAAGTCAATTTTGCTGCAAGCCAAGAAATAAAAATTAACCTGTAAAAAGATGCATATCTTGATCATTATCATCACTCCCTTTACCAACCAAGGTCATGCTATTTCACAGTCCACTGTTTTGGGGGAGAGATTTCTGTACCCCAGGCTAGCATGCCACAGCAAGATTCAGGATGGCATGGTTAACACAATGCTTTCTCTTTGTCAATGGGAAAAAGGTGACTATAAAAAGTGAAATGAAAAGTCAATTGTAAGAAAGGGTAGCTGCAGAGATTGGGGACCATCCGTGCTTTTGTACCCCCTGGACAGTCTTCATATCCTCCATGTGCTCTGATACCCCAGTGGGAATAGCCCACCTGTAGGCAAGAAAGCTGCTGCCAGTCATTCGGTTCATTTAGAAGGTTTACAGACACAAAAGTACACTTGGTTTGATTAACGCATGAATTCTCTTACAATGCATAGCCTGGAGCAGGTACTGCATGAGATGTAATGAATTTTTAAAAAAGAAACATAATTCTTGTTCAATCTACTTGAAAGGAAAGAAAATACCTCATAAATCATAGTGGCCTGACAACACAAGAACTATATTCAACAAAGGAATATATGTTTAGAATTTTTAATAATCTTGAAGATAAATCTGGAAATAATCCAAATATCTAATGATTTGCAAACTAAATAAGTTCTGTGACAGCAGCCATATAATGGAAGAATATACAAGACATTAGAAAATGTTCTTCACAGGTGACGAAAAAAACAACCAGGAAACAATCTTATAAAGTTCACATTAATTTGTAAAAATTATGTATGTGTTGGAAAGTCTCTTAAGAAAATCTATTCAGGGCCTCCCCGGTGGCTCAGTGGTTGAGCGCTAGGTTGCGAAGCTGCCCGCAGCCTCTGCAGCGCCGGTTCGATCCCTGGCCACCGGGCGAGGGTCCCACATGGCATGCAGACCTCTCCTGCCGTGCCCGCTGCTCCCCTCAGCAGTGTACTTTGTCAGTCTGCCTGCTCTGCTCTCCCCTCTGGCTCTGGTGAATTCTCTCACCCTCCCATGCTTCTGACTGTACCCAGTGCTTGTACAAATAAATAAATAAATCTTTAAAAAAAAAAAAAAGAAAATCTATTCAGCTCTTTTCAGTGACTATCCTTATGTGGTATTATTTTTTTTAATGTATTTATTTTTTATAGAGGCATGCTTTATTTATTTGTTTGTTTGTTTATTTTGTTTGTTTATACATGCACTGGGTACAGTCAGAAGCACGGGAGGGTGAGAGAATTCACCAGAGCCAGAGCAGGGAGCAGAGCAGGCAGAAGGACCGAAGTACACTGCTGAGGGGAGCAGCGGGTGCCAGGAGAGGTCTGCGCGCCATGTGGGACCCTCCTCCGGTGGTCGGGGAGCAGCCGGGGATCGAACCGGCGCTGCAGAGGTTGCGGGCAGCTTCACAACCCAGCGCTCAACCGCTGCGCCACCGGGGAGGCCCCTTATATGGTATTATTATGGACAACTTTCCTATTTGTTCTTCCTAATTTTCCACAGAGGACAAGTATTTTCTCTCATGATGTTGGTGGGGGGGGGGAAAGAGTTGTTAGAGGTGAGGAAGGAGGTGAAACAGGTTCACTGTCTCAGGACGGCTACATGTGACCACAGTTTGTGAGATGGTGCCTAGCCAAAGGTCAGTGAGAGCTTAAGTCCACCCCACATGGTATAAGTCCGAATTCCCCTGGGGGGGGGGTGCCATTTTCTAATCTGCAGCTGAAGACAGTGCCCTCTGTTTGCTTCCTCCCTTAGCTTTTGGTCATTTCACTCTTTGAGCAACTTATCTGTTCATCCCTGATTGGCACAGCTGACCCCTTCAGATCACTGCCAAAAAAGCCACTGGTCAGCAAGCAAAATGCTCTAAACCAATGAGGTTCTTTGGCCTGTCAGGAAAAAGTGGTGGGCAATTTTAATTTCCAACTGTATTATATAACTGCAGCCTCCTTACCTCAGCAAGTGTGGAGGGATCTTGACAATGGTATCCACACCACCCAGGGTTTCTGCAAAAAGAAAATCACCAAGTTAAAAATAAGTATGTAAGAGTGAGACTCAGCATTGCACACAAATGTCATTGTTAGGTTTTCTTTTTCTCCTGGAAATTCCTATAGTTAAACATTAGTTGCTCCACAGTTCTCTGCATGCAAGTCATCCATATTTAAAAATCCTTCTCCCTTCACAGCCTCAGAGACTTCCTTGGGGAAGGATAAAAATCAGGATGCATTTCTCTATAGAGACATGGAACCAATAAATTCCTAACCCAAACCAGAATGTCAATTTAATCTAGTTAAAACTGACTAAAATGCTATATACTTGCAATAAAAATAGAGAGGAATGCTATTTCCTTGAAAAGGCTGTTTCAATAACCTTAAATAATAATTTACTCTTTCAAGTTTACAACCACTTATTCTCACACAGTTATGACTTGATAGATTAAACTTTTCTTAATCACACTACAGTTAGGAACATTGATTGGGAGACTTACACCCAAATCTCCTCAATTCACCCTGGACATTCAGTACTAAATTTAATATTGTTATGGACTAGCCATACTGTTGTTGCCTCCAATTGTGAAAGATATGAAAAACTCACTATTGCCTCAAACACCCTGTTCTATTTCAAGAGTTCTATGGATACTGTACCCAATTCCAGTCTGCGTACATGTGGGGAGGGGGTGGGGGGAGTGTACCCCCCACACCAGCAAGCAATTCTCTGACATCAGAGTAGGTTCCTCTAATTTAACTCCACCAGTCTTACAATTCCCCTGTCTAAGGGCTCAGTCCTACAACACCAGTCCCCCCAGGCCCTCACCAGTAGATACCAACCTCAAGTCCAGGTTGTCATGTGGACTTCTGATCTATGTGCAATATGACTTATAGTTAGGCAGTGCCCATGGGCCCCGAACTGGGTTCAATTAATTCACTAGACTTGCTCCAAGAACTCAGATAAATGTTTTACTTACTAGATTCCCAATCTACTATAGAAGAAGATAACTCTGGAATAGCCAATGGAAGAGATGCACAAGGAGGCAGAGCACGGGGACAGGGTGAAGCAGTTTCAAGCCCTTTATGAAAGCACAGCACTCTCCCTAACTCTCCACATGCTCACCAAACCAGAAGCTCCCCAGCCCCCTTCTTTTGGATTTTTTTATGGAGGCTTCATTGCATAGACATGGCTGATGAAATCACTGGCCACTGGCAGCTGAGTCAACTTTTAGTTGCTTTCTCCCCATCCCCCTCCCCAGAGGTCTGAGGGACAAGATGGGAAATTGCCACCTCCAAATCACTTGGCGGTTCTCCCAGCAACCGGTGCCCATCCACAGTGGCAGCACAAGTCACTCAGCAACATGGCAAAAGATGCTCCCTCCATGTAATCTCAAGGATTTTAGGAAACAGAAACAGTGACAAAGATCACTTACGTATTTCTTACCATAACTCACACAGCTCAGATTGCCTAGACACATTTCTAAAGTGCATAGACTCAATAAGTCCTGTCAATATGAACTATTTTCATGGGGAAGAAGAAACCTTTCTCCCCATTCTGCTAAGACATGAGAAGGAACAACTGAGACAACAAATGCATCTGAGATTGAGGAGTGAGGAAAGGTCAAAATGTGATAAAAGAATCTGGGCCACTCTGGGGCAAAATAGTCGGTGTATATAAGGCAATCCACAAAGAGAAAGATGGGATCAGCAGGCCCAGTGATGTATGGCCATGGGGCCAAGGGACGAAGTGGAGAGACTGAGGTCAGCACTTAAGATGAGACAAGACAAAAAGAAAATGAAATCCTGAGATAGAGGTGCCAGGAGCAGCTGGGCACAGTCCAGCAGTGAGCATGGCAGGGGGCTGGTGCCTAGGGCAACTTGATGTTGCTCCCCCAAGAAAGGCTCTGACACCGAACTACCTAATTATCAGGGTTTTCCTCATTGGGCAAAGGGGTGTCCAACAGCGCTGAGCTCTACGTATTCTATAAAAAGTTAGAAGGGAAAAAGGAAAAGGAAGTCACTAAGCAGCCTCACTGGAAGCCCAGAAGATTGGAGGGGAGGTGCTGAGCAGGTAGCAGTGCTGATGGGGACAGGGGGAGGGTGCTGGCTATCAGAGCACAGGTATGGACTAGTGAAGCGCAGCTGTGGGTGTGGATATTTTTGTGTTTGACACAGGGCTGGGAGCAAGAGAAGAGAATAACACTGGTGAAGCTCAAAGTTTTAGACTGGGCAGAGGAGCTGAAGTTGGCAAAGGAGACAGTAATTCAAGAGGTGGTCCCTTCAGGACAGGGGAGGGCTAAATAAAAGCTTGCAAAATAAGGAAAAGAAGGAACCCAACGTCAAATCTACTTCAAAGGTCCCACCAGTCCAGACCAACAGACCCCTCCACTTCCCATTCCTTGACCCCACCTTTCCAACCTAGTGACTGCCCTATGCTGTTAACTATTTCAGAGACTTACCTCTCCTCTTGCTAACTAGAGAATGGTCACTGGGAAACAAATCACATCTTACAATCAGACCGGACTCCAGACTCAACTCACCTGCCTCAGCGCTGGGCTTTGGGGTAGCTTTAAGGACCTACGTTTAGAGGCACCGCATTTTAACTGAACAAGACATTGAGTATCAAAACCCAAATATTAAAAACATGAGATTATTCTTCTCCCTGTTATCTCAATCTGCTGGGTTTACAGCAAAATAATAACGAAGACAAGGAATGGCATGTTTAGAGAGCCGTCAGGCCCTGCTTTATTATGTTATCCAGCCATCTGTGACCCTTCCTTAGAGGCATTTGGGAAGCAAGCTGGAAACCACTCCAGGAATAACAATGGCAAGGCAAAAACAGCACTGTGGCTTTAAGAGTCTGCTCATTATTTATCTGGCCCATTTTTCTTAACAGTAAATTAAAATGATCAAGTTCTGGTTTTGCCTACAAGATAAACTTCCTAGATGATATTCTAGACAATTGTGTGATGCTTAGGTTTCCAAAAAAAAAAAAAAAAAAAAGACGGTGCTATGACTGGACATTCACCCAAAGCTCTGAATTCAGACCTGCTCAATATTATCAGAACCACTAAACACTGTCAGAATTCGACGTTTCTTGGGCAGCCAGACAACAGCACCTGTCACCTGGTTCCACAGCACAGAGCTATGGCAAACACTGTAGTTGAGGGAGAAAGAATTCATTTTATTGTTTTGATTGAGTGGAAACTAAGGAATTGCATGCAGGCTTGGGCAAGGCCAGGGGCCCTCACAGCTGTCCTGTTTCCTCCTGGGCCCCATCCTCTTTAGAAAAAAATCCCCATCACCCAAAAGTCAAATCTGCATTCCCATGCAGACAATTCTGATTACCCATATTCTTGCCTAATTGGAATGTGTTTCTGTTTTCTCTGAGGTTGAGTTCTGCAACCTGAGTCTAAGGGGAAACACAAATTTGCCCCCTGGAACTTATTGCAAAGCTGGCACAGCTCACACATCTAAAATCCCAACTCTCTGAGGGCAGACCACACCACACGTGTGAGACAACCTAACCCCTCCCCCATATGCTATTTTTCATCTATAATTACCATGTAAGCTAACACTTAACAGACTGGCCTCTAGCAGGAAAAAATCAAATAAATCATTGCTTCCCGGTTACACTCGCCAACGTTTGAGATCGGGTTTGCAGGCTCAACTTCCTTTTACCCCAAATGCGTTTAGGAATCAGGCCCTGGCTGCGCACGGGGCTGCGCTCCCAACTCGGAGATGGGTCACCGAGGTGCTGCTGGGGGCCTGGAAACCGGGGTGCTCAGAGGGGATGGCAGCCGAACCCAGCTAAGGCTGGGGGGAGATAAGGCCACCGGAGGCAAGGCGGACTGAACGTGAACGCCCGAAGCAAGATTCTCCCACCGCACATCAATTCCCAGAGGCAACTCCTGCAACTGCGCGAAATGTATCCATCACCGACGCCCCGTGGAATCCCCCATGCCCAGCGGCGGCTGCCCCCCCGCAGCGCGGCCTCCCCGGGGGAGAGCTGGGGGCGAGCTCCCGACCTGCCGGCAGGTGCCCGGCGCCCCCCTGGGCGCGCTTACCCAGGGCCCAGGTGCAGCTCTCCTTGATGGCTTTGTACTTGCTCCCGGACGCCTCCTTCTGCAGCTTCCTCAGGATCTCTTCCATCTTGACCTTCGCCGCGGCCGGGCCGCCGACGCGAGAGCGGCGGGTGCGAGGCTCGGCCGGGAGCGCGGACGCCCGGGTCGCCGCTGCCTGGCCCTGGGCGCCTAGGCGGCCGCTGCGCGCGCCCCCATCCCGCCGGCGCCGCGGCGGATGGATCAGCCGGCCCGATCCCCGGCCACGTCAGCCCCGCGCCCCGCCCCGCCCCGCCCGCCCGAGTCAGGTGCGCTCCGCGCGGGGTGTCGGGGGGCACCGGGCCGCTGCCTTTACGCGGAGCCCCCCGGGCACGTCGGCTCCGCAGAAAGGTGGAGGCGGATGTCCTGAGCCGGCTCTGCGGCCGGCGGGGCCTGCCTGGACCCGGGGGAGCGTCTGGTCGGCGGCGGGCGGCCGGCGGGAGGGGCCTCGCCTCCCTGCTCCAACCCCCTGCGCCCAGGCCGGCGGAGTGGGGTCCACCCCGCGCGCCCTCCGAGCCCCCCTGTCGGTGTGTCAGCTCTAGGGGGACCCGCGCCTGCACGGGTACCCGTGCCAGGCTCAGTGCTAGGCTGGGGCACAACCTGTGGAGATCATCCGTGTGTGTGTGTATGTGTGTGTGTGTGTGCTGGTGCACAACCTGTGGAGATCATGCGTGTGTGTGTGTGCGCGCGCGCGCGCGCTGGGGCACATCCTGTGGAGATCATCCGTGTGTGTGTGTGTGTGCGCGCGCGCTGGGGCACAACCTGCGGAGATCATCCGTGTGTGTGTGATCATCACACACCAGAGGAAGCCACGCTCAGATAGCCTAAGCTCCTGCTCAAAGCAGAGTTGCAATCAACACACATTCTTGAACCCAAAATCTTTTTTTAAAACATCGTTTCCTCCCCTTCCTCTTCCTCTCTTGCAATGAATTGATTTCCTCTGGGGCAGGGGTTGGGGGTGGGGGGGGTAGGGGGAGGTGGCACAAGGGCCAGACCGGCAGAGGGTTGGGTGGGCTGGCAAAGGGTGGAACTGGTGGGCGGATGTGCCCTGCCGGTGGGGAGGCAGCAGGAGCCAAGGCCACACCCTAGATGCCATCACTTCTGGTCATTCGCTGATGGAGGGCTTGGGATGGCTGTTGGAGGAAAGAGAAGAAAGGAGCAGGCTTGTGTGAAAGCTTGGGAGCCAAGAAGGAACTTCAAGCATGTTTGTTTTTCTTTTGAAATTCAACTAGTGGTGGGTTCTCCCTGGGGTGCTGCGGTGAAGCTCTCCACACCCTCTGCTGCGCCAGGTCGGTCCCCGGCTGGCCAGGGAGATACCCACATGGCGCGGTAGACCTCTCCTGTCTTGCCCGCTGTTCCCCTCAGCAGTGTTTTAGGTCTGTCTGCCTGTTCTGCTCCCTGCTCTGTCTCTGGTGAATCCTCTCACCCTCCCATGCCTCTGGCCTGTACCCCAGTTCTTGTATAAATAAATAAACCTTACACACACAAAAGAAATTCAGGTAGTGGTAATGAAGAAGAGAGATAGCAAAGGGGTAGATGGCAGCTGGGAGAATATTAAGATTCTGCCATAATCTAGAAATATATTAGGCCAATAGTAGATGGAAAGAAATGGAGAAAAACATAGCAAGAGATATTTGGAGAGTTGAAGCAAGAGGATTTAATGGGGGAGGGGTGGGTAGCCTAGGGAATGACTTAGAGGTTTCTTGTTTGGGAATATTGGTGTATGGTGGTCAGTTTCTGAGTTAAAGTAAAGAGGGAAATAAAAAAAGGGTTTGGAATGGAGGAAATTTATTAGTTCAGTTTTGAATAGATTTAGGTGGAAATGATAAGGGGACACTAGCCGGTGTTCTGCTTGTGGGCAGGAACTCAGGACAGGCCTCTATGGCAGAAATGAAAATTTGACCACCATCAAGTATGGAGGGTTGTTGATGCCTAGGGTTTGGACAAAGTTTGCCAAGAAGTAGTAGACAGAATGGAAAGAGCCAGATGCCAAGGAGGAAGGGGTGTGTGTGTGCTGGAAAGGGTGTTACCCTCAAATGAATGGCAGGAACAAGTTTCCACAGGGAGGCTGAGAAGGAGCAATCAGAAACCTGAGTTGTGGGCACGCTGCTAGGACAGTGTCCAACACCTGTGGGGTGGAAGTAAGCCCTCTTGATACTGCGGAGGCAATACTTGCCAAGCCCCATCCTCAAGGACACATTACCATATACACTGTATAAAGCCATCATTTGAAGAAAATAAAAAGTTCTCAAGTGCTAAAAAAAAAAGTTCAGAAACTTCAGTCGATAATATGTTACACAACATTGTAAACTGCCTAGAAAAATATAACAACTTTACACTATATTGAAAATACAAAGGTGTTAAAGGGTTAAACTTAATAATTGAACCATGGTAGGGTAAGTAAAAAGGTATCAGGCTTTTCTGCCCTCCCACCATTAGTTTTGATGATGGATCCCTATAGTCCTGAATGCATGCCTGATGGCAGGCACCTGGAGTAGGGCGTGGGCATACGTAGGTGGGTACACCTGGGCTGAGACTGGGCTTATAGGGGTGGTGTCACAGGGATGCCAGCAGAGGGGAATAAGCGAGAACAGAACCAGCAGAGAAGCAGAGGCCACAAGAGAAGGCCAGAGAGCCCGGAAACAGTGAAGATTGGCCAGGGGCCCGGGAGGCCTGCCAGCCTCCCGGCCCCCTGGCACCCCTGCCTGCTGTGTATCTGGTAAAATCCCAATAAAAGCCTGAAAAGGCCACCGAGGGCTCCAGGACTCCTTCACCCATCTGCTCGGGTCATAGAGATCCTGCTCTGTGCCCTCTTGCCACTACAACCATGAAAGATTTAAAATAAAATGTGAATATACTTCTGATAATGCATAAAGATTATTTCTAATAAACCAGCTAAAGCAGAAACTACCAAAAAAGGAAAGGAAAATAGATTTGACTACTTGAATATGTAAAACTTTTATGTCAAAAGTTTTATACAAAATTTAAAAGCATTTGGCATTCTGAGGGGTGAGCTGGGGGAAAGAGAGTAATTCAGCTGTATTTGTGTATGTAGATGTACAAATACATATACAGCTATATTTTTAAATGTCTACATATAGATAAATGGAAAATAAACAAAATATTAACAGTGATTATCTTTGGTGGTATTATATGTGAGTTTGTATTTCCTTAAACATTTTAAGTTTTATAATCAGAGAAGATATAATTTTTTTTAAGAGAGTAGAAAAATAAGAGTAGAATCTGTACAATGGCCACAGGAGGACAGAGAAAAACACAGAAAAGAATTTAGTTAGCTAGGCGCCAACCCCAGGAAAGTAATGAGGACAGAGCCTGGTTGCAATAGATCAAGAACACACAGAAACACATGTATAAACAACCTCCACTCCAGATATTGACTGTAAGGGAGAGGGAGAGCAGCACAGTTAAACACCTTTTAAAAACACCCAACAAATTACAGTAGAAAATGCCCTTTGCATTGCCACCCAATAAACCCATAGATACATGTTTAAGTATAGATGGATTTAAAACAAACAAAAATTGTATTTATAAAACAATACTTCCCATTAAATATAATGGAGTTCCTGTTAAATATAAATTTATTCATAGTGGCCAGCACATTCTTATCTGTTCTTAAATTTATTCTAGGGATGAGAATCAGGCTGATGATCCATGTGTAACTTAGGTGCTTCCTGCCTTGATGTCAATCTTCCACCGGTTTTAATTATATTGGTTAAAATTTCTGGTTCAGGGGCCTCCCCGCTGGCACAGCAGGTTGAGCGCAGTGCTGTGAAGCTGTCCGCAGCCTCTGCAGTGCTGGTTCAATTCCAGGCAGGCCAGGGAGCAACCCACATGGTGCGGCAGACCTTTGCTGTCTCACCCTCAGCAGTGCTTTCGGTCGTCTGCCTGTTCTGTTCTCCACTCTGTCTCTGGTGAATTCTTTCACCCTCCTGCATCTCTGGCCTGTACCCCAGTGCTTGTATAAACAACTAAATCTTTAAAAAAAAATTCTGGTTCATACAAATAAGTTGCTGTGGATGTGATTAATGCAATATACTCAGCAATTGAAATTCTTAGTCTAAAATGGCGATAAACTTATAATCATTCCTCATTATTAAATAGCTTTCATTTTGGGGCATCAACCATACTCAAATAGAAATTCAAGATTTTGACAAACAAATGAATCTTTTATCCAAATGATTTTCTTTAATATTTCAAATTTCTCTTTTGAAAATGATTGAAGTTTGAAATAAAGGCATACAATATAAGTAATATCTTTAGTTTTCTTCTATTCAGAGTATCTTGATTAATAATACTCTGTGTTGCAAAATGTTGAGGATAGATAATAACCATGGTGATTATTAAAATGTCTTTTGTAACTTGAATATATTCAACATGTTGACATATATTATTTCTACCTCCCCCAGATCCAAATTAAAAAATGTCAAAAAATGTGTTACATATGATAATATTGTTGCTGAAATGTCATCATCAGAAGCACTAGTCAATGAGATTGCTTTTAAACAGGAAAATGTGAATCCTATTTTGAGTTCACATACTAGACATTTCCTCATAACAATAGCCTTTGTATGATATAACATACATATATGGGGTTACCGCCTGATAAACCCAAAAATAATAATACAGTAAGTAGAACATATATTTACATACGGAACAATGTAGCTTAACCTCATCTACCTCAAATGTGCACAGAACACTCACATTAGTCCACAGTTAGGCAAAATTCTCTAACTCAAAGCCTATTTTATAATAAAATGTTGACTATCTCTGACACAGATGGGCATTTTGTAGACCTGATGGGATGTGACAATACAAAGCACAATGTCCAAAAACTGCTGGCAACACAGCGCACTGTGGAGTATTTGTTCTGTACCCTTGTGACCACATGGCAGACTGCGGTCTGCAGTTCCCTGCACCTACCCCGCAGCACCAGAATGTCATTAGCCCAGGAAAAGAGCGCTATTCAAAATTCGAAGTGTGGCTTCAACTGAATGTGTATGCTCACGCACCATCGTAAAGTCAAAATATGGTAAGGCAAACCATCTTAAGCCAGGGACGCT